ATCCACACCACTTGATCTATTTTCTTTAATAGTTGCATTATGATGATCATGACCCGAGAACAGAATGGCTTTTGATATTCGGATTCTCTCTAGAAGAATAATGCAACCAGAGCTCTTGAGCAAAGACCTTTTTTTTTCCGTTAGGAGTGATTTAATTGATAGACTTTCATCGACCCTCAGAAACAAGGATACTTTAAAAAAAATTCATCCTCACCTTTCCTTTGTGTTTTACTCCTATTCTTGCTTATATACTTTAAAATGAACGCCGCTACTACGTTTCGGGCTCTTGTTTTGAAGAGGCTTGATATTGCTGCTGGTTCTGAAAAGAAGTACTCTAAGAAGATTGATGTGTTGTTGGCTTGCGCTCCGGTGAAACAGTTTCAAGCAGGTTTGAAAAACACTGCATTTCCTTCTCCTGAAGAAATTTCATCCAAATCATGGCCTCAGTTGGTGGAGAGTTTTCCCTTTGTCCAACAAGTTGCATCGGTCTTGGAGAAACGGAACGTCCTTGTTGAATTTGTAAAAGGATTGGTACGAGGACAACATCCTGATGAGGAGGGATTTGCTAAAGAGTTTCTCGATAAATCGCCAGAAATCCAAACTTGCTACGATCTATTGAGAAGCAACAAGTTGGAAGAAGAGCTCAAGAACATCATGTTCAAAGCCATATTGAATGATACGCCTGTAAAGATGTTTCTTGATGATCTCTTTTCTGAATTCAAAGAAGAAATTATCAAGGAAAACCTTTCATCTGCTTCCGTTATTGAGGCTGGGCTTAAGAAAAAAGGGATGCAAACAACACCATTAGTCATTTCGCTTGCTTTAAGCGTAGGTGCGGATGGGTTAAAGAGGTTCTATGAGAAGAGCAAACACTTTAAGTTTTGGCAGACAATGTTGGACGAGAACTCTCATCTAAACCAATGTTGCGCTATTTCGAGATTTAGATCAGAAGCTGACAACATTGAAGTTGCACAAACACTACTCCAAGCTACTCGTGAGGCAGTGGCTGAAGAGTATAACGAACTTGTGTCCAAACGTTATCAATCAACGCTTCTTAAAAAGGAGGCCCAACCAATTCCATCCTCAACAAAAAAAAAATCGATGACCAAAACACCCACTCCACAATCATCCAACAACAAGATTGTAACAACTATAGCTTCATCGTCCAACAACGTGGTAACAGTTACATCGCCATCCTCTCAACAATCATCCAAAAACAAGGTTGTAACCACTAGTGCTTCATCATCCAACAACGTGGAAACAAATACATCGCCATCCTCTCAGCTGCCATCCAACGTAGAAGCATTAGCCGTTTCTCAAGAAAATATGGCTGATGAAAAAATGTCGGTAGATCAAATATACAACGCCTTAATCAACAACGATCATAAGGCAATGGCTTCGTTCTATTTTTCTCTTTCCGACTTGCCTCAACAAATTCGTGGCTTGAACGAAACACTGATAAAAATGGATGCGAGAATCACAAACTTTGAAAAGAGAATGGAGAAGGAGATGAAAGAGATCCGTGATGACTTACGAATTATTAATACAAACATTGGTTGTTTATATGAAGGTCAAGTGAAACTTCAATTCCAAAAAGATGACGAATTTATAACTCACAATCCAGTTGTATTGAAGGAATCTGAGAATCAAGCAGCATTTGCTATTGCTCGAGCCAATCAAGTTTATTCATCGTATCTTATGACTCTACATTTGAATAACAAAATTAGCGACGAGAACGCCAGAAAACTGAATTTAGAAACAAAAGAAATTGAAATTAATTTCATCAAGAAGCACAAAGTAACGGGAGCTGTAGAAATTTTCGAAGCTACTATTTCGTCATTTAGTAGCGATGAGAAATTGTTGACGAAAATGATACAATTAGAACGTCAAATTATGTTTTACAAGGAATGTTTCAAAAACACCATCATCAGTAGAGTTGGATTAGTCTCACCTAGCAACTTGACCCTCCAAAGAGTGAAGCAGGTTATTGAAAACCATAACGGCCTCTTTATCAACATTCAATCTTTCATCAACAACAACACTTTTGACATTATTAGGGAAGGACACAAACCTGAAATTGATTAAAACCAATATCTACGCTTAATAAAGTAAAGGGGAAGAATAATTTAATAGTACACGCAAATTATTTGTCGCTCGTAAAAACTTGAATCTTTCCTCTTGTTCCCTAGAGGAGAATGTGGTCTCTTGTTGTTCTTGGTGCATTTGATGACGTAATAAAAAAAACAAAAAAGAAAAAAGTGATCACTTATTTCTTTATTCTTTCATCGAGAGGAGATAAAATTATTGCGAGAAAGGTTTGGGTTTGGGTTTGGGTTTGGGTTTGGGTTTGGGTTTGGGTTTGGGTTTGGGTTTGGGTTTGGGTTTGGGTTTGGGTTTGGGTTTGGGTTTGGGTTTGGGTTTGGGTTTGGGTTTGGGTTTGGGTTTGGGTTTGGGTTTGGGTTTGGGTTTGGGTTTGGGTTTGGGTTTGGGTTTGGGTTTGGGTTTGGGTTTGGGTTTGGGTTTGGGTTTGGGTTTGGGTTTGGGTTTGGGTTTGGGTTTGGGTTTGGGTTTGGGTTTGGGTTTGGGTTTGGGTTTGGGTTTGGGTTTGGGTTTGGGTTTGGGTTTGGGTTTGGGTTTGGGTTTGGGTTTGGGTTTGGGTTTGGGTTTGGGTTTGGGTTTGGGTTTGGGTTTGGGTTTGGGTTTGGGTTTGGGTTTGGGTTTGGGTTTGGGTTTGGGTTTGGGTTTGGGTTTGGGTTTGGGTTTGGGTTTGGGTTTGGGTTTGGGTTTGGGTTTGGGTTTGGGTTTGGGTTTGGGTTTGGGTTTGGGTTTGGGTTTGGGTTTGGGTTTGGGTTTGGGTTTGGGTTTGGGTTTGGGTTTGGGTTTGGGTTTGGGTTTGGGTTTGGGTTTGGGTTTGGGTTTGGGTTTGGGTTTGGGTTTGGGTTTGGGTTTGGGTTTGGGTTTGGGTTTGGGTTTGGGTTTGGGTTTGGGTTTGGGTTTGGGTTTGGGTTTGGGTTTGGGTTTGGGTTTGGGTTTGGGTTTGGGTTTGGGTTTGGGTTTGGGTTTGGGTTTGGGTTTGGGTTTGGGTTTGGGTTTGGGTTTGGGTTTGGGTTTGGGTTTGGGTTTGGGTTTGGGTTTGGGTTTGGGTTTGGGTTTGGGTTTGGGTTTGGGTTTGGGTTTGGGTTTGGGTTTGGGTTTGGGTTTGGGTTTGGGTTTGGGTTTGGGTTTGGGTTTGGGTTTGGGTTTGGGTTTGGGTTTGGGTTTGGGTTTGGGTTTGGGTTTGGGTTTGGGTTTGGGTTTGGGTTTGGGTTTTTGGGTTTGGGTTTGG